AATAATAAAGATATCTTGGTTCTAATTTTTTTTAATACCAATACTTAGTTGTTCTCATCAAATCTTTAAATAAATATTCCATATATATATTTTATCTTAAAAATTTAAGTAAGATTTAGTTTTTATGGTCATAATTTTTAAAAAATTATAAATTATTATTTTTTTAATCCCAAATACCTACTACAATTTAAATTGACAAGTAATTTTAAACAATGAAAATTAAATAAAATTTAAAATTATAATAATATCTTTAATTACATTGCTTTATAGTGTCAAATAATGAGCTTATTTATTTTTATATTTCAAAAATATCTTTAAAAAATTAAATATTTTTATTTTTTCAATTTATTTTTTATATTTTTAAATGATAATATATTAATATCAAAAATATTTTTTAAAAAATAAAAATATATTATTTTAATATATTTATAAATAAAAAAATATTTTAAAAGATGTTCACGGCAAGCCATCCAAATAACCTTCGAAAAAGTTAGGAAAACCATGACACTATTTAGACACCCTCTTGGAAAAGAAAGATCACAACACGACATCAAGAAAAACAGACATCAGAAAAGAAAACAGGAGTGGCATCAAAATATCTCAGTGTAAGAAAGTGTAAGTGTGTGGGAGAGTGGTAGGCCAATCTCTCAATCAAGAGACAGCATTTCACGTATCAACTGGCTTTTCAAAGTACGCGGTTTTTGTCCTCTGATGAAATCTCTCTCTCTCTCTCTCTCACCTTTGAAGGTTTCAACCTTCCTTTTCGAGTTATTGTGATTCTTCTTGGCAGTTGGCATTGAAAAAAAAAAAATACCTTTTTTCTTCTTTAGATTGACAACCCATATCCATCACTATTTGCTTCTCTCTTGATCTAATATTTTCTCACCTCTCTCTTCTTTTTTAACCTTCTTCACTCCTTAATTTATTTGCTTCTAAAGATAAGAGAGAGAAAGATTGAATCTTTCTTTCTTTTTTTATTTCTCTCTCTCAAAGCACACCAACCCTTTATCTGTTTTTGTATAAATTCTTCATTTGGATCCTTTATTTCACTGCTTCAGCACCAAAATCCATCTGGGGTCTTTTATCTTCTTGTCTAAGAACTTAAATTTTGATTCTTTATAAGAAATAAAGGATTGGGTTTTGGAAGAAGAAGATGATGATGATGACGATGGAAGGGATGATGGATAAGGCAGTATTGGATGATATAATAAGGAGGTTGTTAGAAGGGAAAGGAGGAAAGCAAGTGCAGCTATCTGAAGGAGAGATCCGTCAATTATGTGTTAATGCTCGCCAAATCTTCCTTTCTCAGCCTATTCTCCTCGAGATTAAAGCTCCCATTCGCATCTGTGGTTGGCACTCTCTCTTCTCCTCTCTTTATAATGATAAATTGACTTTCATCCTGTTTGATGCTGTGTGTTTATGTTTTTCATGCTATGTGATTGCGTGAAATTGTTGGAGAAGACTGTTTTGAATGATTTTAAGCAAAAGGGATTAATTTTCAGCTTATCTACAGACATGGATCACTTGATAAATTAATTATGGCTTGATTTGATTGGTTGATCTTGTCTTAATTGTATTTCAATTGTTGAAGGATTTGTAATGCTTGATGTGAAAGGATTGGTTTTTAACTCTATTTAATGGATTTGTGTTGGAGGACATCTATGTCGTTGTAAGTCATGTGTTTCTTCGGGGAGAGACATAAGGCAAAAGCTCAGTTCCATCCACTTGTTTATTACCATCAAATCCAACATTGATTGGCTGAAGCATGGCCTATTTGGTAGCTGCACTTCCTTTGAATAGGAGAATCTGTTCTTCATGACTACCAAATTATAAAAAATGATAAAACTTCCAACATTCTGAATGGTTGTTGAGCTTTGGTTAGATCAAATTGGCTTCTTGCTCATTTGGTCGATTCGTGTCTTTATTTTGCAATAACCCGCGCACAGGTCCGGAGAAAGAAAAGAAAAAACAGAAATAGCAGGGCCTTAGAATCAGAATTAGGTATGAGCAGTCTCATAAATTTGAAAGGACATGTGCTGTGGGAGAAAGTTATCAAGTTCTTCACTTGTTTCCTATAAACTATGTGAAACTCACGGTAGCACTTTGGTTCTTGAATATTTTTTAAAATACCTCTCCTCTGGCAAGGATCTTACTGCTTATTTGCACAAGCCAACTGGAACAAATTATACTTTACATTGCAGCAAAGTACTGTAGTCATTGTTTGCCTCCTCTTTCGCCCCTTGCATATCTAATTGTTGTCTTTTTACAGGTGACATACATGGGCAATATCAAGACCTCCTGAGGCTGTTTGAATATGGTGGCTACCCTCCTTCAGCAAACTACCTCTTTCTTGGGGATTATGTTGATAGAGGGAGGCAAAGTTTGGAGACTATATGCCTGCTTCTGGCCTACAAAATCAGATATCCTGACAAAATTTACCTCTTGAGAGGTAACCATGAGGATGCGAAGATCAACAGGATATATGGGTTTTATGATGAGTGTAAACGGAGATTTAATGTTAGGCTATGGAAAATATTTACTGACTGCTTCAATTGTTTGCCTGTTGCCGCACTGATTGATGAGAAGATACTTTGCATGCACGGAGGCCTCTCTCCAGAGTTGGAACATTTGGGTCAGATAAAGGAAATTCAAAGACCTACCGAAATCCCTGATGGTGGCCTCCTTTGTGATCTGCTTTGGTCCGATCCTGATGCTAGTGTTGAGGGCTGGGCTGATAGTGATCGAGGTGTTTCATGTACCTTTGGACCTGATAGAGTTGCTGAGTTTTTGAATAAAAATGACTTGGATCTCATTTGCCGAGGTCATCAGGTGAACCAACTCTGTTTAAGAAAGCTTAATACCCATTAAAAATTGCAAAGTGAACAAGCAGCTTTTATCAGCTACCATGCTCTTTCTCCTTGCATATAGCCAAGTTGAAGCCTTGTAAATGTGTTGGGTCATGATTTAGGGTATTGCAAAAAGCTTTTGCCTCGGTTTAACTATTTTATCTAGAGATTGTGAAAATGTGCAAAACTATCATGATAATCTGAAACTCACCAAAATATATAAACTGATACTCTTATGTAGTTAGCATCCTTTTCTGTAATATTGGACCAGAACTTCTGCATTGATAACAGATGAAGATTTTTCTTCTATGTTCCAGGTGGTGGAGGATGGATATGAGTTTTTTTCCAAACGAAGGTTAGTAACAATATTCTCAGCTCCAAACTATGGTGGGGAGTTTGACAATGCAGGCGCTCTCCTAAGTGTTGATGAATCTTTAGTGTGTTCCTTTGAGGTATTAAAGCCAATTCTACCAGCAAGCAGTTCAAAGTTGACCCTTAAGAAGGTATGTTCATGTTATAATTGATATTTTTTTCTCCCTTGTCTTTATCTGCGCTTCCGCATTTGGAAGTTGAAACACTCTGATCTCCTTTCCTTGTCTACATCCAAACAGCCTCCTAAAGCCGGAAAGATCTAGCATGGGAAAAGGGCGTTCAGGGATCTCTTCCTGTTTCAAATTGGAGATTGACCTAACTCAGTTCGAGCAGTGATTTGAATATCTATCACAATGTGGGTTTATCATCAGAAAGAATCCTTTTTGTCTTGTTAAAATGTTACCCAATTCAATTTGCAATGCTGCAAATTGTTAGGAAAATCTGCAAAAACAGCAGCTCATGCTATGTTATGTGTAGGAACACAAGGTCTTATGTCAGATGCTCTTTTAGAACTTCCTGGTCAATCAGTATATATGCTGTTTGTAAGGAGTGACTAGAATAGGTCTGATTTTTGTTGAGATGTTTGTGCAAGTTTAATCTTGTGGTTTGCTTAGGGAGACCCCATGTCCATCTAATGGCAATCAAAATAGGTCCATTTCTGGCAACTTGACTGTACCAGAAATGGCCCTGTTAGCAACCGAAACATCCTCTGCTCCTGGTTCATTCTATCTCCCTTAAAAATATCTTGTTCCATATCCGAATGTTTGTTTTTATGGCGCAGTGTGATTGTGTTCTATATTCTACCTCATTAAATTGTCTAGTTAATCAACACGAAGTATAATTTTAATAGGCCATATAAAAAAACTCTCTTGTTATAATAAAAACAAACTATAATTTATTGTTTTTTTTAATTTAATTTTTGAAATCGTAACTATTAAAGTTTTTATATGGTCAAACTCGTTAATAATTTATAGCGATTGGATTTGTGATGACAAGTTGCTTCAAGAGGTTCATGCAGATTCCTGTAGCTGCTGGGCAACCTAGCCTGTACAGTTACCTGAGAACAAATTCTACACATTTAACTTCGGCAAAATCATGAATTATTGTTATCTCGAAAGCTAATGATTATGCTCTAGATGTTCTAGCAAATGGTGGATTGTCTATATGGGTCTTCTCATCACTTCCATGTGTCTGTTAGCTATGCGCCTCAACCAATCCTGTATCTCTCTCAAGTTTTCTGCATTAGAATATGGAAGGGTCGCAGCAAAAACTACGAGTGTTTATTCTGAAAGAATTTGTTTTTGAAAAAAAAGATATTTTTTTTAATTTTAAATTAATTTTTTAATGCTTTCAATTGTTTGAATGTACTAATATCAAAATTAAATTTTAAAAAATAAAAAAATATTTCAATTAATTTTCAAGTGAAAAGATTTAAAAAAAAATTACCATTACTGTAATACCAAATAAACTCTTAAAACTTCATCATATCAGCCAGGTTATCAACTACCTGAGCAAATTAACTTAAATTGATATTGTTTTTAATATTTTACTCTTAAATTAAAGCATAGGTCATAATCTAACCCGGTTAGATCGAACTTAGTCATGGTTTAATTAGCTAGATCTAACAGGATAAACTTTTACCTAATTTGGTTACTGATCTGTCAGGGGGCCTGATATGATTACAGTGCATAACATAACGAAGGACATATTGGCGTGTTCATATTTCATGACCCTATTTTCTTCCACCTCCTAAATCTTGGAAGCAATTCATAAACTCTTTGGAAGGATATGAAAGGGACTTATTTATCTCATAGGAGGAAAATCTTCTGTTACAAAGCACCATCATGTATTGACAACCTGTTCTTGGAAAACAACGTGATACAAGTAACCCTAGTTTCTCTTTCCCACCACAATCATCGGAGCTTGACAAATATACACTAGTCAATCTTGAGATTGCGTGCTGTTGATGATAGCTTCCAGCTAGATATCGAGGCAGCTTGTTCCAGACTGGAGCTGTAAAACGAGTAGTTGCATGTTTATGATAAGAAATATATTTATCTGAATCGTTTTTTATTAGCAACTGAACTGGTCAAGAACATCCAGTTATCTTCGTGCCTCCAATTTCTTTGCAAGGACTTGAAAAGAAAGAGAGAGCGGGAAAATTCAGGAAATAGTATTTTGCTTACTCAAACTGGCTTTGATAGCTTTTAATAATAAGAAAAACTATAGAGTCGTGTATGCTTCTCTTTTTTTATCTTTTAACTAGGAAGAAAAGAAGGGAACAAGTGATTCATATCATAACACTAGTTCTCCACCAGCATCACTCACCTGTAAATTAAAAACATCATCAAGCTCATGTTCACCTACGTTTCATCTTCGATTTCCTTTCCTGTTTACTAAACTATCAGGAGAATTCTGGCTCATCTTGCCATCCAGTCTCCTTGCTGCTCTTTGAATAGCTGCAAGCTTTTGGCGCTGACCATGGCTCTTCCTTTTGCTGCAAAAAGCAATTACTTCTATTTCATTCATCATTAATGCTAATATAATGAAATTGAACGATCAACTTCACAACCCACTACTAGACAAAAAAGGATAGCATGGATGATTTATGAAGGAAAATCAGTTAATCATAATGGTATCCGAGTGTGTTTGATGTCTCCCACATGCTGTTTCGCAATGAGTTTGAAGAAGGGGAAGTAGAAGGAATCAAGTATTTACTGAAATGTGCTAGACATCTGCAATAAAAGGCAGCACACTTCCAAACTTCTAAAAAGAAAAAATATCTACTGCTAAATGCCAAAGATGTCACTCCAATTTTCCCACTTGGATGATTAGTAGCATTCTAATTTTTAATGAGAATGCTTATAAAATGAAGCCTATTGTCCTTGTGGTTCCTATGGGGGTTTTATCCGTTTTGAAAGCAGGAATCCTTTATTTTATCTTTATTTAGTGTAACTACTTGAGCTGGATAAAAGGGGATATCATGGACATTATCTTTAGAGTAATCCTCATTTTCTAAGGAGCTAAATGAAGGTTGAAAGCCGAGAAGCTAAATATGAAATCTCGAAGAAATAAGAAAGGAAAGAATAGATTGGTCTAACCTCATGAACAAGAGGCCTGCAGTAAGAACTAACCCTCCTACTGCCCAAGATATTTTTTCACTGAACGGCATTTCCTGCACCCACTGCTGGAAATCTTCCAAGACCCTTAAATTCTCATCTTTCTGGGGAAACTCAGATCGCGAAGACCTCCATGAATCAGCAATAGAATCAAGACTTACTCTACCACCATAGCAAGGTGCTTCTTCTGCACCAACATACGCATCATCGGTCAACTTAACAGCGAAACCTGCAGCATGGCAGAGCTCTGTGCCATTGGAGACCCATTCAGCTGCTTGTCCACAAACGAAGTCATTTACTCCACATGGGGCTATGACCTGATAGATGAAATACAATCAGGAAGTAGATTTTGTAAGGCATTCTGATGGATGACATAATAGATCCTCGATCAGTTTTGATATTTTAACAACTGACAGTAGTCTACCAGGAAAACACAAAGGAAAATGCATAACTTAATAATTTCTTTAAGCCCATTGGGGAAATGTTAGTTCGTGAACTCATTAACTGAGCTAAGGAGCTCTCAGACCTTAAGCAAGCAATAAGCATTGAAGTCATTAAATGCAATTCTCATTTCAAACAGATGTCAATACCATAAGCTAATCTAATCTTAAAAAGATGATAAGAGGTGAAATCTTGCACCAGATAACTCAAAAGGTCTTTTGATGAATCAGCTAGTCTAGAAGTCAGTAGTTTTGCTCTTACCCGTTTATTTGCATCCATAGAGAAGTAAGCATTGGCACACGCTTGATAGACTCTGTCACAAAACGAGGCACATATAAGAGGAGGTCCAGGCTGAACACCAATTTGGGGATCACAAATTGAACATTCCAACAATTCCCATAATTGCAAGCACTCCTGGCTGGCTTCTCCTGTTGAAGCCAGCCTCCTAACAGACAGCAAAGCAGGATATGTCTGAGCCACATCACAGCATGTCTTTTTCCGAAACACCCTGCAGAGGGTCAAATCTTTTGCACCTTTGCTTACCTTCTTCGGTGGTTTCCCTTCCGATGTATATGGCGGAAAGCGACCGCCTTTAGAAATACATACTCCAGCATTTTTTCCTGCATTAACAAATTGAACCCTTGCATCAATCAGAATTTGCAATTGGAATCTGATCCTTTGAGCTCAGGATCGTTCTCAAACAGAAATGAGATAAATTAATTGAATTTTAGCTTTCCAGAAACAAACACTGAGCTTTTTTAACTTACTAAAATTCAATTCTTACACACCAGCAAATTCCAAACAGGCTTTAATGGACATATAAATAACATGTTCTCAGTTTTCAAAGAGAAACTACCTCTCTACTCCCCCAAAAAACATGTAAATTCTCGGACAAAGACCATGTTCCAGTACCAAATCCATAAAAACACCCACCAATATTTGGACAAAGAACATGTTTCAATCACCAAGTTAATATCCTTAAAGTTGAAGGGATTAACTTGCAATAACTTAAACAAGATTTTGTCTATAATTCAAGCACCCCAATTCATCGTTATCTCAACCAATTGCCATCCATTATTTAACAAAACAAGTCTCAAACTTTTCAAGTGTCCTACAAAAAAAAAAAGTCTAAAGAACCTAATTAAACGGTATGGCTTCAAATACAGTGATTCCCTTCATCAAAACAAAGCAAAAAAACACGAATTTCTTATCTTTTAACTTTATAAAGGGCAAGCCACGCCCTAAAACCGAGACCCAACAAGTGAATTTCTGTACCAAAATCAATAGGTTACAAATGGGTTTATCAAAATCAATGCAAATAACAGTTAGTGACAAAATTGAGACAAAAAAAACCGTAATGGAGAATTGACAAAGAAAGAATCTCTACCGGAGGAGAAGTGGATTTGCAAGTGAAAAAAAAGTAGCAAGATCAAGAACCCATATTTTTTTCTCTTCATTTTTGGCCTTTCAAGCTCCGAATTGACTTGGAATTTGAGAGAAAGGACCTGAGGAGGCTGCATCAACTGTGGTGAATGATAGTACGAAAATGGAAGTTGCTGTAGGATTACCCGGTTGGTGTGGATTTGGATCCGATGGATTGGATTGAACCCGGTAAAAAAAATTGAATTCTGCCTGGGTCCATAAATAAAATCGAGGACCCAAATGTTGTTTGAATAATTCTGTTTCCGAGTTGAGGACATTGGGCTACACTTGCCTTCTTAGTCCCCTAAAATCCATCAAACCTCTAGCCCTTTTCGGATAATTCTTGTCCATCCAACTAATCTTTTTTTCAATTTAAATTCTATATAGATTATCTGTGTAAATGAATTTATTCATTAGAAGCTTTTATTACGCCTTTTCTCCAAAATTTGGATTCAAGATAGCAGTGAACTTAATTACCATCCAAAACGAAATATAATTGTTAAATCTAGCTTGAAATGAAATATTTAAGATCTAGGTATTAATTTGAATTATATTTTTAATTGAATTTGATAAAAAATTAATTCAAAAATACTTGTTTAATCTAGTTAAGGTTTTAGTAATTTGGCTAGGTTTTAAGCAACCACTGGATGGGTCACCAATCAAGAAAAAAAAAATAAGTCATTAAAATTATTAACAAAATAAGTAAAAATATTATTTTAATATTTTTTAGATAATAAATCATTTTAAAATATAGACTATAATATAAAAAAAATAATAAGCACTTAACCTGTGCTATTTTTCATATCAATTTCTAACCGAATCTGACACCCTGGTATTATCTGCGAAGAATTACATTGAATTTGTTGCACATACACTTAGATCACATCGCTTGTAATTTCCATTCTACATATTTCATTTGTGTATTGTTCAAGAATTAATTTCGTGTTTCTATTACTTATTAGTGGATTTTCTTGATAGATGTAGAAGACCAAAGACATAGCTCTGATAATTTATTTGAAATAATAATTTAAAAGAAGAGCACGCCAACAAAGTCTACAGCCCAATTGGCACTCCGGTCTATTTCCTTATAAAACTATACAGAGAATTGGATGCATCTGATCATTGAATACGTGGAAAAGGACATCACAACCCAGAGGGTATCACCTCTTGGTGGGAGAAATTTGTCTTTTTCCATTATTTTTAAGTTTGAGTTTTTATATATTTATTTATTATTTTTATGATGTTTTATATATTTATTGGGTTTATAGAGGGAGCTGCGGGATTAGATATGGTGGGTTCAAGTTAATCTAGATACTCATATAAATCAAAAAAATAAAACAAAACAAAAATAAAAAACTTGCCTTTAATTATTCCCCTTTACCAATTTCATCCCTTCTCTCCGCTGCTCCCAGCAGCACAATCCCAAGTGCTTAACAGCGTATGTGTGGAAAAATAGCTGAATTTCTGTTATATGTCTGGATATAAAAAATAAATTTTAAGAATAAAAATTAATATTTATAAATAAAAAATATTCTAACAAATAATAGTCACCGCTACAGTAGAAAACACAAAACGTGCGCTGAGATGGTAAAGGAGGTGACATTTCTTGCAGCCTGATGTGATGGATAAGAAAGCCGATAAATGGTATTGGTCCCCCACTTGACTCGGTGCACCCCTGTAAACTTGCTACGAGCCAAAACCACTCCCATCGTTCACAAAAATTTAAAATATTTCTTATTTATCAAATATTAAAATATTTTTTATTTTTAATATCGGTACAATAATCTAAAAAAATATTAAAAAATTAATTAGATAAAAAAATTACTTTTTTTAAAAGGACACCATACTACAATAACAAACAAGGTTTTAAAAGTATTTGCACCGTAATTCATCCATAATTTTTTAGATTTTAAATTTTTTTTCAATTAATTTTTATATTTTTAAATTATTTTAATACAATTTATTAAAAAAAAAACACTTTCGAACACAAACGCCAAGCCGGACTACATGGCTACCCGCAAGGTAGACCTTTATAATCATTGCCCACTCATTACTTAGTGGCTACCCACATACGAGGATTTTTTTTAATCATTACTTATTGAGTACAGTAAGAAAAATATAAATATCCATACCATGCACTTCTCAATATTTATTATCCGACTATCATATATTATTTAACATAAAATAAAATAATATATATATATAATTCATAAAATATAATAGGATCAGTTTTTAAATTGAGTTTAACAATTGCATTTATATCTTATTTATTAATTATCAATTACAAATATTACAAAACAAGTAAAATACCCATTAAAACTCACTTTGGGATTTTGATTAGATTTCCATCCCTCCTAATCAAATTAGAATGAATAAATAAATAAGGCACCAAAATGAAGTAATGGAAAGCCCACCATCCTTGACGGTCTTCACGATAACAATTGGCTGTCCTATCTCAGCTTCCATCAAAAGCATCATAATGCTATGCTGATCCCACACACACACACACACACACATCACATATAAAAGGAGAAGAAGCAAGCAACGGACAAAAATTGAAAAGCTCCATACAAACAGGGATAACAAGCAGGAAACTGCATTGAGAAATACCATCCCTACATATATTACAACTTAATTACGACACGTCTCACAGACCATCGACAACAGTGCATGAGATCAGAAAAGCGTTGTCTAAATTAACAGCTGAAACACCCACTAGGATACAGTACTGCATCGTCACTACAAACGGAGACAGGATCACCCGAGGAGGTGAGAACTACTACGGATGCCGGAGAAGATGCATGTAAAGGGCTCATATTTCACACGCCGTAAGGAGAAGTAGGATTTCTGGGTCCAACCTCGGTTGGCTTCTCGTATGCATCCGATGTAGACCTCCTTCGAAACCGAAAGGACTCTCTGCTTCCTTGACAAAATACAATAGCTAGCTCATGTCAGTCATGAAGTTCAGAATCCCACAATTCTCCCAAATGAGAATATCAATGGAAGCACATTAATGGAATCAATCTGACCCGAACCGTAAACATAAAGATATAAAAAGAACATGTGTTAGGCAGGCACGCTAGCAAATCCTAAGAATTAATGGAAATACAACCATCACCAAATATCATACAATGCGATGCCTCCCATCACTTACACAAACACCATATGTCAATCAGTCTACATCTAGTTAGACGGACTCCCCCACACGGCGCCCGCCACTCATTCCTCGCCGCAAGGAATTATTCAACATATACGAGTTTTTACTTGTTACTCTCACGTGTGTGTGTGTGTGTGTGTGTGTGTGTATGGAACCACTGCATTGTTTTCTTGATGGATCCATGCTTCCATAATTGGAGTATACCCTGATCATCACATCCATCTACTCTTCCACCAAGATTTCACATCGTTTGGTAGAGAAGCCAACCACGCTGTTGACCGCCCTACCAAACACGGTGGGCCGCGCTAGCGAAAAGGTACTTCAAGTAACACGAGCAGCAAGTGAACCCAACTAGCGACAACATCTGAATTTCTTAATATCTACTCTTCTTTCTTAGCCATTCTACTAAATCCAATCTGAATTAATCAACTTAAACAAAGGCTGCTCCACATAATCCATCCAGGTGACAGTACCTGGATTGACTGGCAATCACTGAACCATTCAATACGTTGTTGTATCCACCCAAAAAAAAAAAACAGAGAGAGAGAGAGAGAGTTCTACCTACCCATTGCATATAATCTTGACGTGACAGACCAACCAAACCCTAAACAAAATGTAGATACAATTTACATAATTAGGTCAACAAAAATTAATGGCCCTTTCCATATCCATGACCAAACTCATCAAATTAGGGCATGGATCCTAACATAGCAGTAGCAGCATCCATGCATCATTGTACGTTGTTAAGGACAAAAAAGTCATCATCCAAAACGGCAATCAAACAAACAGTTACACACCTTTGCATCCACCCATCAGATAAAGCAATCACCATTATCCACCTAACCACTAATATGACAAGACTACCCCTAAGCTCCACCTATCTGGGAGGAACAAAGACAGGGCATTTTTGACTTACCAGCAAAAGGAGACACGGGAGGGGTCGATCCAGCTGGTGAAGCCGGCGGTGTAGTAGACGAAACATTAGTGTATCCCGGTGGTCTTACTATCATGATACTCCGTGTCACTCTCTTCTCATCAACCGTCGTCGCTTCCTCTCTGTACGATTTCATCACGCTGCCGCCGCCTGACTCTATTCATAACAATAGAATAATAAAAAAGCTTACTTAAAAATCATAATTATGCTACATTTAACAAATCACTATTCAAGTTCTCTAATTTATAAGAACCGTCCGATTGAAATGAGTTGTTTTCATCATTTTATTATGGTTCGGTAGTCGTGGCAAGATTTGGGTGGCATACCCTTGCCGGGGTTTGGCCGGAGGCCCGAGCTCGGCATCTTCCGGAGCTTGCCGAGACCGCTTTCCGGAAGGGGACCCGCAACGGTGTCGTCCCAGAGCTGATCGAGAAGGCTCATAGTGGAAGCTGGACAAAAAACCCAGCGAAATTTAACCAAAGAAACGGCGCGCTTCCGCAAATACGGCGTAGTTTAAGGCCTGCGGATGATAGAGCGAGTAAGCTTCGTGGAGTGGGGAAGGGTATTTAAAGAAGAAGAGAGGGTTGAGGGTCTAGCAAGTTTGGCTGTATCTCGGCCGCTGATTTAGATCAAGTGGTGTTGAAATGACTGGGGAGTGGATGGAGGGGACACGTTTGGAGAGATAAGATCAATGATGCGAGAGTGGGTCCCGGGGTTGCCGGAGATCTGAAGAGGAGATGTGAAACGTGGTGTGTCACGTGATGGGGGTCCTCGTCTACATCGGAGAGACGAGCATGTCCTTGGCTTTGTCTATATGGATAGTTTTTTGAGTTGTACTTTATTGCGATGTTGAATTTGTTTAATAACTGTGAATGTGGAAAATATATTTGTAAGAATACAATTTTTTTTATATATTTTTATATTATTAAGTATTGTTAATTTAAGATTACATTTTAGATTTTTTTATAAAAAGATAAAATTGATAGATTATAAATATATTATGAAATCTTTAAAACTAATATTTATAATTTTTATTTTTTATTGTATATATATTTTTATAGTATATTTTTCTATAATATTTTTATATTTTTTAAAAAATTATATATTTATTTAAAAATAAAA